CATATAATTATTTTGATTACACAATTTTATTTCTATTCACTGCCACTTTAGCTATTTTCAATTCTTCCTTCTTTTAACAGTCCACAAACGACGTGTATTGTTAACGGTAAGTGTTACAAAAATTAAGACCTAACATTGCCACTACTAATTGCTGTTACAGTATGCAACTGAGGCGTAAATTCATGCGTCTGTTCAATTGTTTGTGTTGAACGACTGAAAAACACTAAGATTTATTTATCCATTCAAGCCCCTATAGTTTTTTTCAACCGTTTTTATTAAGTAAATTTAAATATCAACTAAAAATTTTCTTCAAATGCTGTAGACCTTAAAAAATTTAAATAATGTACTCTCTTATCCTTTTGTCATTCACCCTTCTGTGCGTTACTTCTAATGCGACTATGAGGTGTAGATGCTTTTTTTTTTTCAAATTCAATGATATTTAACATCTAAAAAAAAATTAGTTTTGTAGGATATCTGTAACATAAATTAAAATTAATAAAGGAAAAAAGTTCAATTTTTGATTTGATTGATAAACTCAATTCTCGGCTCCTCTTTTGTCATTTGAAATGTCTCAGTACTTTTTCGCTTTTCAGCGGTACCATTTCTTGGCAACCAAAAATACCGACAAGAAAAAAGAATATAACATTTTTTAATCTAAACATATCTCTTCCACCGCTTTTTTCTGATCCTGCCAACTTTCTCACCTCTTGTCCTACGGAATTCCCAACGGACATGGAACAAAAGATGAACGGCGTTGATCATTTCAGCCGCAACTTTTGCGATAATAAGCGATGGAAACGTTTATGTAACTAATCTTTTTTCACTGTAGTCGCGGTTATAACGATACTGATCAAAACTGTTCTCTATTACCATCATTATCCGCACTATTTTCCGTTTTCTTTCGACCCGTCTGTTATGTAATCGGTCGTGAGAGGTAAATTGTTCACAAGCTGTTCCAAAAAAAAAAAAAACATCCCTTCGTTATTTCTAAACATTACGCTCTAACGCTTTTCTCTCAAAAATAACATCGTAACAGTTTTACTAAATCACCAGATACTGAGCCTTCCGGTACTGACACACCTAACCAAAGATCATTCTAATAGGTAAATTTATCACTCTCTATTAAGACTACATCAAGTGTTGTTTCATGATCCTCTTCAATATCACTAGCAAACATTACGTCTATTATAGTTCAGGTACTAACGATTGTAAAAAATCTACCAGCCTGAGGTTAATGAATGTAAAGAGAGACTAAAAAGCTTATAGGAGCTTTTTTTTTTGCAGAATGACTCAAGCGGACCAGAAAAAAAAAAAAAAACGCTTTTACAGAATTTTTGCACCAAGTTACAATAAGTACGATGAACATCCGGTCATGATTTCCTGGCAGTTAAACCCGTTATCAATGCTATTTACGTTCCTTTCCGCTTCCTTATGTTATTTCAAAACAAATGCACTTTTGCTTATTTTCCAAATCTTACTCAATCGTAAAAATCTTGCTTTGTAAGATTCGAGAAAACTATTTATTGTAGGCTGAACATTTTCAATCTGGTAGCAGAATTTAGATGTCAAACAGTTGTTTTTTTTTTTTTTT